AAGTCTGATTTATGTATTTTGGGGCTCTTTCATTGGGTCTATACATATTTATGGTTATAGCTTCATGTTCAATGATCCTTTAATCATTATATAATGTCCTTCCTTGTCTTGTATGGTAGTTTTTGTCTTAAAGCCAATTTGATCAGAAAGTAATATTGCCACTCCTGCTCTTTTATGGTTGCCATTTGCTTGATATATCTTTTTCCAACCTTTGACTTTTAGTCTATTTTCATCTTTGTCTCTACGTTATGTCTCTTGTAGACAGCATATTGATGGGTTTTGTTTTCTTATCCAATCTGCTAGTCTTCATCTCTTGAGTGGTGCATTTAATCCATTAACATTCAGTGTAATTATTGACAAGTATGAATTGTTTGCTGTCATTTTGTTATGTGTTTTTTCATGGTGTCGCTGATTTGTTTGTTCCATATTATTTTCTGTGTTGAGCTCATTATGTTTATGAATCGTGTTATCATTTCTTTTGTTGCTGTTGTTTTAATATTTTCTGAAAATTTGTGCTTGCCCTCTTTTTTATTGTGATGTGAAGGTTTATCATTTTTCTTTGAGTTTACCCTGTGATTTATAATTTTCTCTCCGAGATTAGAACAGTCCATTCTGTCTTGCAACTCTCTTGACTTCCTCACCATTTAGAAGTTCTGTAACTGCACAGTATTTTCTCACTTTTTGGTTTGTAGTTGTCCTCACTTGCCAGTTGATGTCTTTGGTTCCCTGTTTACAATCTTGTAAGCTTATTTTACTTTGGATATGTCCATAGGTGTGGTTTCTGTGTTATGCCATCCTGTGCATTAATGGTAGGTTGTTATGTGCTATTTTTCGTTCTCTGTTCCAAGGACTCCCATTAGTATCTCTTGTAAGGTTGGTCTGGTTTTAACAAATTCCCTTAGTTTCTGCTTATCTGGAAATCACCTAATTTTACCATAATATTTGAGGGACAGTTTTGCCGGGTATATAATTCTTGGTTGAGAATTGTTCTCTTTCAGGGTTTTATATATACCATCCCATTGTCTTCTCACTTGCATGGTTTCAGCTGAGAAATCAGAGCTTATTCTTACTGGTTGTCCTTTGTAAGTAACTTTTTGTTTTTCCCATGCTGCTCTCAGGATTCTTTCTGTGTCTTTTGTTTTGATGAGTTAGATGATGATATGTCTTGGTGATTTTCTTTTGGAGGTCTATCCTGTTTGGGGTTCATTGGATGTCCTGAATGGATATATTCTCATCTTTCATCATATCAGGGAAGTTCTCCTCCAACGAATCTTGGACAATTGTCTCAGTGGTTTTATTTTTCTCTTCCTGTTCTGGAATTCCAATGACATGTAGATTATTCCTTTTGATGGTATCCCACATGAACCTTAGGCTTTCTTCATTTTGTTTTGATCTTTTTTCTGATTGATCCCTTTCCAAAGAAGTATTCAGGTATTTGTCTTCAATCTCATTAATTCTGTCTTCCATTGCATCAGTTCTACTCCTTTGCCCTTTCAATGTGTTATCTATTTCTGACAATTTAGTATTAATCTTCTGGATTTCTACGTGTAGATTTAGAATCATTTCTAATTTTTCATTTATTTTGTCACTTTGTTCTTGTATTTTCTTCCAAATTTCCTCTAGGGTTTTGTCTGTATTTTCCTTGATCTGTCTCTCAATCCTTTGAAGATTCCTAAATCTAATTCTTTTTAATTCCTTATCAGAGAGTTCCAATGCTGTTTCTTCCTCAGGGATGTGTTCTGGGTCTGTATCCTCCTCCCTTGTTGCTACCACTTTATCTTGCTTGTTTGTGTGGACTGTGATGATCTGTTATCTCTGAGACATCATTGCATTGTTGTATTTAGATCTCTGTTAACTGTTTGTGAAGAGCAGCCCAGGGTGAGTCAGTCTCTTCTTGGTGGTTGTTTATCATTGGCCTGTTGGTGGAAAAGGAATTGTTGGCTCTCACTCAGTAAGTGATGCTGCAGGAGGTGTGGGTGTAATTGTGTTGTACAGGGACTGTTGCTGTCTTCCACTCAGTTCAACAAAAATAACAATTGAATAACCATAAAAAAAGTAAAAGCACATGGACAAAAAATCCAGGTCCAGAATGACCTTTGGGTTCCCAGCAAGTGGAGCCTGTTCTTAGGTCCCTGGAATCTGGGCAAACACTGTCACTTTAAATATACAAAATTGTCAAGCCACTTGTAAACATTCAAAATGGCTGCACCCTCCTGACAGACAAAAGTCCACAGCTCAGCCTGCCTTCCTCTTTGCGGCTGCCCCTTTTATTCTCCATCCACCAGAGCAGTCCTCTGTGCAGTCCCTGGCTAGCAGGGCCAATTTTTAGGTTTATTCTTAGGTCCTACTACCACTTGGCAATATGCAAGCTGTCTGTGCCATCAGGATCACTGACAGACCGCAGCTCCGTATGTCTCCTTTTTTGGTGTTTTCATGCAAGTTCTTCTACTAGTTGGAGTTTAGTCCACTTCTCTATCCTTCCTTTCAGAGCTCAGGGCTCCAGGATTATCTTCTGTACCTGTATTAAGTGGTTCCGCTTTTCTTTGTTGAAGAGGGTCTGTGCAGTCTTTCTGCCTATTCCACCATCTTAATGGAACTCCCCAGATTCTGTAATTCTAAAAAGCTCCCAAATGATGTTAATACCGCTGGTTCCACGGACCGCCCTCTGAGTAGCAAGGGGTTAGTTATCTGGCTAATTTATAGATGAGGCAAGAGAGACCCAGAAAGATTCAGCAACTTGACCAAGGTCATACTGATTAGAGAAACAGGTGGAACAACAACGGTTGGGCCTGATTTTCCACTCAGTGCTCATTCTGAGGCTCAAGAGTGATTTCCTTGGACCTTTCCTTGTGTAGTTTCAGTAGCATGTATTAATCCTCACACATTCCTGCAAAACAACAACTGTGAAGTGGAAATGGACACTTTATTTCCAAAAGTTTTGAACACTTCTTTCACATGAAACTTAAATGTACTTAGGAACCCTCCTCAGAGGGTCTTCCCTAGCCATAATATTTAAAATAATTCTCCCCCTTCACCACAAGGGGAGCTCAGGTGGCGTAGTGCCTAAGGCATTTAACTGCTAACCAGAAGGCTGGTTGTTCAAATCCACTAGCCACTTCTCAGGAGGAATATTGGGCAATCTACTTCCGTAGAGATACTGCCTTTGAAACC